AGAATGTTGAAACAAAACTGAACGGAATAAATATACCGCTAGGAAATGTGAAAGTCAAATACATAAAAAGCATAGAAAATATTGAAACAGATTAATTTCTTCACTTTGTTCTCTCTGAGGGTAACTGAATTAAACTGAAAAACGCCACTTCAACGCAGTAAAAAGCAGGCTTATTTCTGCCGAACATCACTTCATCATTAATTTTGTGCACCATTGCACTGCGTCACTGCAGTGCATCACTGTATCAGATCAAGAGCAGCTGCTGAGATGCTGTGCACCATTGCACTGCGTCACTGCAGTGCATTTTACAGTAGATTTTTTTACAAATATGTAGTATTTTGTATCCCTGTCTTTTTGAGCCGGCCTCTTATAGGCATGGAGTTATAACTGCTTTATGATGTCCAAAAGTTTCATAAGATTGATGTCCATGTCGATTCCTTGTTAGCTGAATGAAATACGTATTGTTGTGGTTAGATCTGAATTCCTTGAAAACCTAAAGTGTACTTTTTCTCATTTGGTACAGAATTGCAAAATCAAAAATTTTCTTTGACATTTGTGAGACTTGTCTAGAAATTTAGATTCGCGACATGATATTGACTAAAATTCTCGTGACGTGATTCTATGGGTTTTCTTGGTCTTCTATGATATAATCTGTGGCACAACGCAGTGCAATGGTGCAAAGCATGAATCATGAAGTAATGTTCAGCGGAAATAAACCTGCTCTATGCGAATTGTACACATTGTCAATTTCACTGGAATGGCCCTTCTTAGTTTACTTTAGCTACCCAGAACAAATGAATTGAGGAAATATTTTTTGCAAAGCCTTATTATGATTCATGAGCAATTATTTTCTTATTTTGTCATGCATTATATATTTTTATTCTATATATATCAAAAAATTTGTGTATAAGAACAAATTGAGAGCTAAAAATTATAATGACGTCAGTTTGCTGTCCATGATTCGAAATTTCAGCACGGACTGTGAATTGGTCGATTTGCATTTATAGTACATGAAAATTGAAACTTATGTCAATGTTTGGAGCCTAGGAAGGGCTTATGGGGATAATTCAACGCTATGGTGAAGGTGGCTAAATCTTGCTGTCTTGTCGGTACTGAAGCACCGTGTGCGTGTTGCCTCGATAGTGGAAGTGAACTACGTCTGCTTGTGGAAGTGAACTTTTCCGTTGCGTCTCCATTTAAGTTTTTGGAAAATCTAGTTTAACTTTTTGAGTAATAATGGCAGGAGCTTCGTACCATGTTTACATGGCTCATGTATATGAAGAGATACTCGGCTAATGCGATGACATATTAACCACCACCAAATAAAAAAAATGAAAATGAAAATTTCCATTTTTTGAAAAATGTCAAATAAATTAAGGCATTTTTCATTCTTTTCAACATCAACGGGAATGTTTAGGAATCACTTAGTTCCGTATAAGTTTTGCAAAAACATTAAAGTCAATCACCATTAGTATGACAGGAAGCAGTCCAAAATTTATGAAAATATAATATTAAAATATCAATGCTCCTGCAAATAATATATTGGCAATCAGAATATAAGAACAAGGACAACTTACGGGCTGAACACCGGCAAGTTATTCATAACTGATTTAATATTGAGTTATCTCATTGATACCTGTCGTGATTATTGATATTCGAATGATTTGAGGATTTTAAGATGAAGGGAAATGAATTCACATAATCATCAGGCATTTATTTTCTATTATGAAGGATGGTTGAATGAATCAGATAATATGAATTAGTTACTCATATTACATGTAAAAATTAGTTTGTATCATATTTTATACAATACAAAGGATTGTCTGCAGTAAAAAGTCATTTTTCTATTGTGAAATTCATATTTGTTCATAAAAAATAGTTAAATTTTTGAAAATTATGCGATTTTCACTCAAAAATAGTAAAATTAGATAATTTGTCACTATGTTTTTGATATTATAAGGTGCACTAC